AAACTATTTCAAACTTAAAGTAAAGATCTACTTGGCCGATTGAACTGAAACTTTGTAGGAATGATCGAATCATGGTCCTGACAAAGTGTTGTTATTTTTCGGGTCAATCAGAAATACAATTTGGCTGCCATGGCCGCTATTTTGCTACTAAGTTCTAATAGGCCGATCTCACTTAAAATTGGTCTAGGAATGATCAGCTCATGGTCCTGACAAAGTTAAGTTAACATTATACTATTTTTTACTCAAATTGGTACATATTTCAACAACAAAAATAAATACTGTAGACTCAGGTGACCGTTTAGGCCCATGGGCCTCTTGTTTATCAGCAAGTATACGGATCATTCTTGTGTCAAATACATTTAATGTTGTATAATGAAGGGTTTATCTCTGCTCTCCTGCCCAGTTTTTTTTTGTCTGACTGTTTTAAATTTAACATGTTCACCTTGGCTGAGACATTTTTCATTGTCTTTTTTAGTGTCTACTGACAAGTACAGTTCATCTACCTCCTTGAATTCATTCCTACGCACATCACGTGCGTCAATGGGCACTAAGGTGATGTGCCGGGAAGGTGGGTGTGGCATGTGTGTGGTTGAGGCTAAACTTTACGAACCAATCTCCTTTGAGAAGAGAGCCTACTCCATCAACTCAGTAAGTCAAATACACAACTTACAACTTCTCAGTGTGGATAGTATCGTCTGATATTACAATGTATTGGTGTGATCGTGTCTTGAAAGTCCACTGTCCTATGTTTCAAGCCCAAAAATTGTTGGAGCAGAGAGAATTTTGCCATATGTTCGTTTATAACATAGCAATTTAGAAGCATATACCGTACCATGTAATTAGATGAATCAATATAGTTCAGATAGTTCAGGTTTTATTTCATTTTTCCAGTAAGTAGTGATTCAAATATTTCTGTTAACCCAAGTTCCAGAATTTTTTTAAATGGAAATTGGTAACAGTCATTTGATTATTTCTGGCATTGTTTCTGATAATTACAAGAAAGTCAACCTTACACTCTAGTTTTGAACATTTCCTGTATGGCCTCTAATAGTGCTGATTGTACCATTTCATCACAGATGCACATTCGACTGAGTGCAATGGATTATCCAGGATAGGGCTAATTATAATGTAAATACACGTGTTTTAGAGTCCTATTCTCTGTTTAATGTCTGTTGCGTTCTCTCACACAGTGTCTATATCCTGTGTTCCTGTGTGATGGCTGGGAGATCACCACTGTGGAGGGGATTTCACACAAGGGAGACAACTCTGTGTCGGAGAGGCTGGCCCACTACAATGGTAGTCAGTGTGGATACTGTAGTGACGGACAGGTTATGAACATGCACTCGTAAGGCTTCTTTTTACTCTTGATGTTGAATCTTTATCTGCTTTAAAGTTAACCAGCATTAAAATTGAAAAAGAGAGTCAGGCTAATAATAAAAAAAAAAAATGTAGATTTTTTAGAGTACAATTAGTGTAGGATAATAATAACTTTTTAGAGAAAGAATAAAATTTAAAAATTGTGTATGCAAAGAAAATAAAGAGGTGGTTGTCTATTCCAGTAATCAAAGGGATTATGTAAATACTGTGATTTGTATGAAATGAATGTTCTAATTCATTTGAGATGTGAAAACACATTTGATTGGTCAATCTGATATTTGCATATGCAGTTTGGATGGCAATTGCTAATGATATCAATAAACATGACAGGCCCTGACAAATCACATGACTGGCCCTGACAAATCATGAAATTGATTCTAAAAAACCTCAAAGTTAAGACAGCCTGATCCAGAAGGTCACTGTAGTTCCCCCCAAACTTTATAATTACCGAAATAAGTAATCCACGGTTGTTAGAGTGAGCTTAATTTCTGAAAAACTCAAGAAAGATTACCAAAAATAATTGTTTGCTTTGATTTAAGTGTGTGGAAGCTAGAATAAGGGTAACCTTACTGAGATATGGTCGGAATGCTGGTGTGATGATACTTTCACAACTGTTTTGTTGACACGCTCTGCCTCACCAGTAACACTCACTTTGTGACAGTATCTAATTACGCATTGATTACTATTTTTATGTTTTTCAATGGTGTGTATATATAAAATGCAGTGTAAATGGAGTTGATACCTGTAAGCGTTGATATTAGATACCTGGCACATATTATAATACATGTATCTGTTACATCAAATAACACACCTGGTACATGTAGGCTACTGGAGTACAATGGCGGTCAGGTGACCATGCAGCAGGTCGAGGACGCATTTGATAATGTCATCTGCAGGTGTACAGGTAGGAACATCACATACCTCAAACTGAATCAACAGGTATTCAATTTTAATACCTATCATTTGAAATGAGTAGGCTTATCAGCAAATTTTCAAAAATAATCATAAACACCTCACTCTTGTAATATTAGAATGCATATGAGAAATTACAGATAGTGGTATCGTTAATCATATTATAAAAAGTTGCATGTAAAGTTCTCCTCATTACAGTACTATCAAGTATCTTTTTTTTTTTTTTTAATTAAGAGCAAAGACAATTTATTTGTGAAAATGACATATTTGTCCCCATATTATATCAGTATAATGCCAAAGTCTCTGCTGTCCATTCATAAATTTTCAAACTAAGTTTTCAAAAATCACAAAAGGTCATCTTTCTTCATTTCATCCCTCCAAAAACTAATGGAAAGACATTTTTTGCATTGGGTTTATGTATAAATTTGTAATGAGGAAGGAGGTCATATCTATTTTTTGTTAATTTCATGATAAAAAAAACACCTTGTTCAATTGCTTTGTCATTTTCCACATATGTGCAAAGTGAATTAAAATCCCAAATCTTCATTCCAAGGTTAGTCAACACTTGCAAGTTTCATTCTAATGATCACGTTGTTCTCAATAAGCCCATCATAAGACATTAATTAAAAAAAAAATCTGTGGTTGTACATGGGCCTGAGGTACAAGAAATTAATTTGTTATGGCATTAGTTGAATAATATGGTGATCACTTCAGAAGACTTTTATATATGGCAATGGTTGATTTTAAACCATTGGCTGCCATAACGTTTGATCAAATAAAAAATATAAAGGCAAATTCTATACAGGTTACCGACCAATACTGGATGCCATGAAGTCATTTGCTGTAGACTCTCCCGCCAACAAGAAGAAAGCTCCCTGCTCTGTGGATATTGAGGTAAATATTTGTGCAAATAGTATTTACTTTCTGGATCCCCATATCATCAAACTTTTCACCATGACTCAAGTTGAGTTCAAATTGAGGTCATATATATAGAAAGTTGAGTTTGTAATTTGGGCCTAGCAAGTAAACTCTAGGACTGTAATTTGGGCCTAGCAAGTAAACTCAGGACTATAATTTGGGCCTGGCAAGTAAACTCCGGACTGTTGGTACTGTAAATTTATGTCGGTATAACATGATGTCTCTAATGCCAAGTCTCAGTAAAGTCAGGTTTCATTTTACACAGTATAAGTCTTATTGCTGCAATACATACGGGTATTCTGATTTTATACAGGTGTAGATAATATTTAAACTCTTTAGTAAAAAATGTAGAATTTGATTTGATTTTGATTTACTTAATCAGGATGTTGGGACACTTAGTAAGGTCTGTAGTAGGACAGGTGGACCCTGCAGGGGAAATTGTAGCCCCCAGACATCAGACAACGGAGAGATGACACAGATTGTATTGAAGGATGCTCAGTGGTTCAAGCCGAAGTCTGTAGATCAGGTCTTTGTTGCCATGAAGCAAGCAGCAGGAAAGACGATGAAGCTTGTTTTTGGAAACACTGGATTTGGTAAAATATTCCTAAATTATCTATACTTTGTATTCTTTCTCTTGTGGAGTTTAGAAGTCAATAATTCCATTTTCTTGGGCAAAACAAATAAGAGATTTTATAGCTACCAATTTTTATGTATTGTATGTAACAGAGCGCGTGATTAATTAAATATAAATCACTGCCTCCGCTAGGGATCAAACCCGGGACCTCAGTCTTACTAGTCTTACGCTCAACCGATCGAGCTAAAGAGAAGTTCTCTATAGCTGAGCGATATATTGCGGCTAGTATTTACAAGGGTTACATACTCCCCTTTCCAGGAAAGAACTCGTCCTCAAGTTTTTCCAGGGGTAACAGCGATGCTTGTGGAGCAAGGCCGAGTATTTTTCCCGGGTCCCTACGTGGGCGCCAATGTAACAGAGCGCATGATTAATTAAATATAAATCACTCCGCTAGGGATCGAACCCAGGACCTCAGTCTTACTAGTCTTACACTCAACCGATCGAGCTAAAGAGAAGTTCTCTATAGCCGAGCGATATATTGCGACTAGTATTTACAAGGGTTACATGTATACAGTTGTAGTTGGTTCAATTCAATTCAACTTTTTTTGTGGGGTTTTGCAGTCACAAATTCATTTTCCTGGACGGTATGTCTAGAAACTGTATACTTGTCCTACATGTGTAGTGTAGAAGCTTTGATTTTATTCAAAATATGTTTACAGAGTAATAATGCATTAATTATATAACTATCAATAATTGTAACCCCCACCCCCCCCACACACACAAAGAAGTTAGGGGGGGGTATAACTTTTTTATGGAGTTATGGCCCATTGTTGAAAAATCCTTGTCCTGACAACTTTTGCTTATCTACTTTGCCTATTTCAAAGCATGTTTACAGATATGGTAACTGCCCCCTGACGTTGTGCATCCGAGTAGTACTTTTTCATTCCGACCCTTTTTAAGCAGTTTTGGCCCTTTGCTAAAAATCTTTCCACAGACAACTCTTCCTTAACTACTAGGATGATTTCAGCAAAACTGGTTCATCTGGGCTAACACGATTTGGTATGCAAGTATGTTTTGGCATGGGAAGGGAGTACAAGAAGTAAGTCAGTGACCTATATATGTGTACAGCTCAGTAAAAAAAGAAATCATTACTGGTGGGAGACTACGGTTTGCTCTGCAGTGCTTTGCCTTAGTTAGCCTTTAGTTTACAGTTCTGGTTTATATAGGAGTGGGGGAGTATTAGTTATAGCCTTTGGCTTATTTCTAGTTCACTAGGTTTTAACATATTGAATTTCAAAACATGTCAAGGCCTTATATAAACTTTGACTTACAAATAGATTATCTGTACCAGGTGTGTTTGGGGAACTTGGTCAATGGATGTTTGAAGTCTTGATTGATCTCAGAGAAGTACAGGAGCTGTATGGAGTTGATGTAAGTACTCTTCTTAGGAATTCCCTTCCACACTTTACGGGGATATTTATGTTTTACCAGGGATATATATCTCTAACACCTGACAGGGGTATTTATTCTTACCTTCGAAATATATCTGTCCTTCATCAATGCAATTCTGCCTACTTTATACAAAAAACAATACTGGTACTAGATGTAGTCATCAAGGCTTTCCCTTTAATTAGATAATTTGAAATGAAAAAACATATTAAAAGTGATTTATGCTGGTCATTGGCTTATCAAAGTTGATACCAGATGCAAGATACAAGGGTTGTTATTGAACGTCGCATATTTAAAACAATAAAAACATTAGCACTGTATTGCTATTCTTGTATAATAACAATCAGATGCAGGTAATTACAAAGACAGGTAATTACAAAGACAGGTAATTACAAAGACTAGTTAAATGACACGTAGGTCAAGGTACACGAGCACAGCACATTCGTAATCACAAAAAGGCAGCATAATAATTTAAATTTATAAAACTAGGTTTAAGTACTGAAATATCACACAAGTATTTCTAATTAAGGGTTAAAGCACCATTACAGTGAAATAAACATATATGCTAATATAGCAAAACGTAAAAATTGACAGGAAATACACTATGATAGTGTGATTATAGCTGAGTGTGGAAAAAGGAGTTAGCTGGAGGCTAATAGTTAAACGTTGTCATTGGCAAACGTTGGGTGTAGATATATTGGCTAGCTGATCATGAAGGTTTGCAATTCCAGTTAATGTAACAGAGATGTCAAAACCAGTGTTATTTACCTTTATACTTATACAGTGTTAGTGTTGTTGGACCTTTCAATTTGACTGTGCTTTCAACATATGAACTTTTTATTATAGTTGAACAGTAGTATTGAACTTTGATATCACGGTTTAATAGTGATGATAGCGATTTACCCTTCAGTTTGATAATGGCTATGTTGACTGTTGACCCTATATGTTTGACAGTGAGGTTAACCTTTGTCATTTCAGTTTGACAGTGATGTAGTCCTTGGAGCGAATCTGTCAGTGAACCAGTTACAAGACATTTTCTACCGCGGGAAGAGCGAGCCTAACCTGTACTACTTTGATGTACTATATAAACGCGTCAAGGAAATCGCTGGACACTCTGTTAGAAACGTAGGTATATGTACTACAGTGTAAACCGTATATTGTGTCGGTCCTGAACAAGTTTAGATTTCTATCCTGCTACATCATTTGTGTTAAACATTTGTTTTTAGTCATGGTTAATTCAATTATTTTTTTGATTTTGATATTCAAAGGAATTTTATAGCTATAAAACTCATTTAGAAGAAAACAAGTTACAAATCAGTTGAATTTCAAATAATGGCTGGTATGTGATAACCATGTAAATGTTATGTATGCCAAAAAACCAGATTGTTATATAAGTCCTGTAAACCATGTTTTGTTTCACAGCTTGGCTGCTGGGCGGGTAACCTGATGCTCAAGCATGCCCACCCAGAATTCCCCTCTGATGTGTACTGTATGCTGGAAGCTGCTGGGGCACAGCTCAACATCAGTAAGTTCAAAGCCCCACACAGTTTAGGCGAGCTAAATACATATATCACATACTCTGCCCTACCAATTAGACTGCTTTCTGCTTCAGGGTGCTTTGTTTTCTTTTTAAGGTCACATTGTTAAGGTCACATTGGGCGATTATTTCTGATTGGATTCTTCTGGCCCCAGGGTCATGAAAGAATTCAGTGTCATCTCAAAATATGTATCAAATGTTGAAGTGTATATATAGAGGTTTCAACATATTAATTGTTCTAAGTACAATACACAACCATCTAACCTATTTCTTTGTGTATGTAGCTGATGGATCCCAGACACAGCTTGGGTCATACGACATGTCACACTTCCTAGCCCTGGACATGACTGGTAAGCTGATTACGGGTATGATGTTACCAGGACTGGACACTAATGACTACTACATCCGCACCTACAATGTCTCAAAGAGGGCACAGGTGAGATACAATAGGTCAAGTAGAGGTCACAGAAATATAAAGTATTTCAAAAAGAGGCAGAAAGTCAGATATGATAGGTCACCTAGAGGTGACAGAAATATAAACTTATTTACCATAAGGTCACAGGTGAGAAATGATAGGTCACCTAGAGGTCACAGAAATATAAAGTAGTTCAAAAGAGGCAGAAAGTCAGATATGATAGGTCACCGAAATATAAACTTATTCACCATAAGGTCACAGGTGAGAAATGATAGGTCACCTAGAGGTCACAGAAATATAAAGTAGTTCAAAAGAGGCAGAAAGTCAGATATGATAGGTCACCGGAATATAAACTTATTCACCATAAGGTGACAGGTGAGAAATGATAGGTCACCTAGAGGTCACAGAAATATAAACTTTTTCACTATAAGGTCACAGGTGAGAAATGATAGTTCACCTAGAGGTCACAGTAATATAAACTATACCAGAGGTCACATGTCAGATATGAAAGGTCACCCAGAGGTCACAGTTATATAAACTACATAACCACAGGTCATGTTTTAGATATGAAAGGTCACCTAGAGGTCACACTATAGTCTTAATTACTGTAACAAGTTTTATTTACATATCCCCCCAAAAACAAAATAAGTTTGGTGTGTGGGGGGGGGGTGTATAGAATGACCTTAATATTACAGAAAAAATACTCTTTACAATAACTAGTCCATACTGGCCATTTACTGATCGTTAAACAGTTAAGTAAATGCTTGTGGCAGACTGGATGAACTATATATCCCTGAACCAACTTTGTAATTTTATAGCATCTAACTAACTAGGATGTCAGATAGTCAGCTTGGGTTTGATTTTCAGACTGGATGTGAAAAATATTGGGTCATCCGCCCGACCGAGTGGGTTTTCTTTGGGTACTCCGGTTTCCTCACACATTTAGACCCTCTGTGTAACCAACTTTGTACTCTCAGGAATTTGAATTCTAGTTTTAAGAAGTAGCATGCCTGTTGATAACACTGCAGCCATAATAAAATCCATTTTTATTTTTCTGTTTCTATTCAGAATGCCCATGCCTATGTGAATGCTGGTTTTCGGATGAGGTTAGATAGCAAGAACAACTTCCTGGTGAAGGAAAGGCCAACATTGGTGTTTGGTGGTATTAGTGCTACCTTTGTAAGTATTCAGTGTCTGCTGGTGTCTGTCAGCTATAAGAAGTGCTATTAACCACAATGAGGAAAAAGTGACGTGATGACAATAAACCTTTTACAATATATAGTTTGTGATGACAATAAACCTTTTACAATATATAGTTTGTGATGACAATAAACCTTTTACAATATATAGTTTGTGATGACAATAAACCTTTTACAATATATAGTTTGTGATGACAATAAACCTTTTACAATATATAGTTTGTGATGACAATAAACCTTTTACAATATATAGTTTGTGATGACAATAAACCTTTTACAATATATAGTTTGTGATGACAATAAACCTTTTACAATATATAGTTTGTGATGACAATAAACCTTTTACAATATATAGTTTGTGATGACAATAAACCTTTTACAATATATAGTTTGTGATGACAATAAACCTTTTACAATATATAGTTTGTGATGACAATAAACCTTTTACAATATATAGTTTGTGATGACAATAAACCTTTTACAATATATAGTTTGTGATGACAATAAACCTTTTACAATATATAGTTTGTGATGACAATAAACCTTTTACAATATATAGTTTGTGATGACAATAAACCTTTTACAATATATAGTTTGTGATGACAATAAACCTTTTACAATATATAGTTTGTGATGACAATAAACCTTTTACAATATATAGTTTGTGATGACAATAAACCTTTTACAATATATAGTTTGTGATGACAATAAACCTTTTACAATATATAGTTTGCAAATATGGGGTATGCTAAATCTTGCTGACAGATTTGTTTTTCGTAAAAAAAAAGCTCAGGGGAAAAGTTGATATTTTCAAAATGGTAGCCAGTCCAAACACATTTTCATGGTTTTCTGAGCTTATTCTGGTAAATGTAGTTGGAATGGGAGAAAAATACTCTTTCATGCCAAGGGAAAGCCTCAGGTTTTACCAAATTTGAAAACCCCTCGATTGGAATTTCCCTATCCTATACAGCTGGGCATGAAAGAGTCTTATAAATCATTATGAAATTACAGTTATAGAACCGAATTATTAAAGACTTTGTGTAATGGCTTGCGGTTTCGACATATGCTTCAAGTCTGCCTATATTGTGTTACAGAACCATGCTACAAATACAGAGACATTCCTTGTTGGGAAACAGCTGACAGACCCCAGTGTATTCAAAGGTGATCACCATAATCTAGTTCTCTATCAAGCCATGGCTTCTAATTATAAAAGATTAGTTGCCAAGGAGGAAGTATAAGTTATACTGAGTACATAACATGTTTAAAACATGTTCCATTAGGGAGGTATACCTGATATCAGCGTCAGGTTGAATTCTGTATACCAGGTTTCGCCCAGTCAATTTTTCAGCCGATGGTCGATTCGGTTGAAGATGCTAAAATCTGTAACCGCCCAGTGTTAAATTCCTCTTTCACACTTATTTACTGGGTATATTATGTTGTTCCCTAATGTTCCTGCTTATGATAAATTCACCCTCATTATGGCAGGTGAAAATGGCTAAAATTTCCCGGTACACAGTATATACTGATCATGACATAACATACTCCACAGTGGAGGTCAGTAGTCATAAGAAATATCTATTATCCTGCTCCAACATGGAAGTACTTGTGCATCATGCTGAATATATACTGATTTCAAATTCTCAACTGTGAACAGCTGCTCTGATGACCTTGTTTGCGGAAGTTGTCCCTGACACAACTGACTTGAGGTTAGCTAGCGCCACCTACAGGAAGACCCTGGCTCTGTCATACTTCTACAGAGTAAGTTACATTCTTATCTTTTTGTGTCTGTCTGTTCGTTAGCTTCTTGTCCCCGACAACTACAGACATAGGTTTTTATCCCAGATCCATGAAACATTGTAGTGCTTGCCAAAAGTATTACTAGTGTTCAGGTGTAGATATGTATGTGACATATTTAACTGATAATTATTTCAGACTAATAGCCCTTTGCTTCAGTAACATATTTATTAATCAAAACCCTTAATATGTAATGAATCTTTTTTAATTTGATGAAAAAGTATTCAGATTGTTTTGTAACTAACCCAACGTTTAAGGCTATAAAAGGGTAGTGCTAGGCTACTGTTTTGTTACTTACACAACTTTTAGGGCTATATAAGGGTAGTGCTAGGCTACTGTTTTGTTACTAACCCAACTTTAAGGGCTATATAAGGGTAGTGCTAGGCTACTGTTTCGTAACTAACTCAACTTTTAGGGCTATATAAGGGTAGACACATGTATACTACAGGTCTAAAGCCCATATTCTCACAGGTTTACTCCAGGTCTATAGCCCGTACTCTCACAGGTATACTACAGGTCTATAGCCCATACTCTCACAGGTATACTACAGGTTTATAGCCCATACTCTCGCAGGTATACTACAAGTTTATAGCCCATACTCTCACAGGTATACAACAGGTCTATAGCCCATACTCTCACAGGTATACTACATGTCTATAGCCCATACTCTCACAGGTATACAATAGGTCTATAGCGCATACTCTCACAGGTATACTAGAGGTTTATAGCCCATACTCTCACAGGAATACTACATGTCTATAGCCCATGCTCTCACAGGTATACTACAGGTTTATAGCCCATACTCTCACAGGTATACAATAGGTCTATAGCCCATACTCTCACAGGTATACTACATGTCTATAGCCCATACTCTCACAGGGATACTACAGGTGTATAGCCCATACTCTCACAGGTATACTGCAGGTCTACAGCCCATACTCTCACAGGTATACTACAGGTTTATAGCCCATGCTCTCACAGGTATACTACAGGTTTATAGCCCATGCTCTCACAGGTATACTACAGGTTTATAGCCCATGCTCTCACAGGTATACTACAGGTTTATAGCCCATACTCTCGCAGGTATACTACAAGTTTATAGCCCATACTCTCACAGGTATACAATAGGTCTATAGCCCATACTCTCCCAGGTATACTACAGGTCTATAGCCCATACTCTTACAGGTATACTACATGTCTATAGCCCATACTCTCACAGGGATACTACAGGTCTATAGCCCATACTCTCACAGGTATACTACAGGTGTATAGCCCATACTCTCACAGGTATACTGCAGGTCTATAGCCCATACTCTCACAGGTATACTACAGGTCTATAGCTCACCCAACTGTTTCAGTCTCTATTAATTCCTATAAATGATTTATAGCTAACATCAATTCAGGAACCCAAAGCTGTAAATAATGTATTATAGTTTTGCCAGTGAAATATCGGATTCTATCAACTTGATTAAACTTGATAAAATCTTTCACACTGTGACAAATATCAAAATTGTGAAAATATCACTTTTTGGTATTGACCAATCATGACATTATCTTCTATTTGCTGCATTCAAAGGCAACGACTTTTTGTTCAGATTCAAATGAAGCGACGGTAGAATAAGTGATTGCTATGGTATGTTTGGTACACATGCTTAAGTATTTACATAAATATACAATTAATAACATTTTTATAAGCAATCATACCAGAAAATAGCAGAAAACGTCAGAACTGCATTGAGTATCCCTTTCAAAATGGCGCACAGCCTTGTTGTTAAGTGTGATGTCATTAGAATATGGCACTAATTTAAACGCTTCTGATTCCCGCCCTTTTTTATTGCATTACATTTTTCATGATTTATGCTTTAAAAATGTAATAAATAGAAAATTTAAATATCCGCTATATAAGTCATTAGACTTCATCAGATAACTTTAGTTTCATCTTAATTTTTTTCTCTCAATATTATCGTCTCAATATCATGTTATATATTTTTTGTACAGTGTATGTTTACAATATAAACACCCAACCGTATTAAAAGTAAAATGTGGCAGGTTCCACTTAATACTATTTTGTAGCACTGTTTGCCATCACAATAAGACTGCTGATGTTTAATTGATTGTGTTTCCAGTTTGTGTTGGATGTCCTGGGAGAAGCAGCCCCAGCCAGACTACGGACCGGAGCTAAAGCCCTGACCAGGCCTCTGTCCTCTGGACTACAGAGTTATGACACCAAAACTATGGAGTGGCCGCTCACACAGCCAATGACCAAAGTCCTGGCCTTAAACCAGGTATATTTTTAAGTATTTAGTAAGATAGTTTTTGTCTCACAGCCACAAAGTAGCGGAAGCGAGACCAAGATGTTGCTTTTCCGGCAACGGCTTCAACATTAAGTTTTGCGTTTAAGTTAGTTTCACTGAAAGTATAAGTGCTAGATCAACCAAACTTGGACCATAGATGCATCTAAGGTAGTACATCTCAACCCATGCATCAAATGCTGGATGTGGTCTGGTCCATTGACTTTGTCAGCATCTCCATCAAGATTAAGTTTTTGCATTTAAGATAGTTTCATTAAATTTATTTCACCGATATGTACATTGATGGTCAAAGCGGGGCACAGGCAAGACATATCAATCTGAATGGCTTGTATTAATAATCTACCATAGAGATAGCAGCTTGAAAGAAGTATATACATAGAGTAAAACCTACTTACTATAGATGCTCATATAGAAAATTCTTGGTGACAAGTCGTCAGTGAGTCCCCTAATAAGTGGTTTTCTAAGTATTATCAAACTTGTTATTGAATTGTACCTGTTGTGAACAAATTTCTTAGGTTCTCTGGGATTTATTATAACCTTAATTCACCTGTATTTGTTGATGTTTACAGACCTCTGGGAAAGCCGTGTATATTAACGACATTCCCAGTAAGCCGCAGGAGCTGCACGCTGCCTTTGTCCGCAGTACTGTGGCCAATGCCACTCTACAAGGCATGGATGCCACCGGGGCACTGGTAAGGTCCTCTGCTGTTAATGATGGTAAACCATTTGTCTGGTGTATCAATCTAAAGACCAAATATTACAGGTCTCAAAAAAACCCAAAAAACTGATGACTTTATAGATATAAAATCAGTAAGAAAAAACAGTGATGTTTAGCTTACAATTTGATTGTTTCCAGAGTACACCAGGTGTAGTGAAATTCTTGGAAGCCAAGGACATTCCGGGAGTAAACAACTGTTACCCCTTGTCACCATGGCCATCACCTGAGGAGGTAAGTAAAGGGCGGGGGTTTATGCTCCAAACATTGTTCTCTACTTGGTGTTATGAGGAGTTAGTTATAAGCACAGAGAAGTACCTGAAATTACTGTCTATATATAGAGGATAATTGTGAATAAAAATTCATCAACATGGTTAATTCTCAAATGTGTAATATACAATCTTCAACAAACAAATAAGCTTTGAGAGGAAATTAGATACAAATCAAGAAGAGTGTTGTATTGTTTCTCGCCTGCCACCATAAAATTGATCAATAAACTTGGAACTGTTGTTTGCTGTACCAAATAATGTGTCTTTTTATGACAGAATTTTCTGTAAATATTCACATCACAACAGAGGTCTGACATCACAAAACTCTGTGATGCAATTCAGGATTGTTGAAATTACTAAAAAAAATATCTGGGCAATTATTATATTGTGTCAGATGTATCTGATAAATTGAAGTACTGAATTAGAAATTAGAAAGTCTGTCTGTCTGTGGACTTAACATTTGTTTGCACTCCTCCTCCAACGATACTTGGTACACAGGACTGTTACATAGAGGAGATGCAGTTATGCCCCTTTGTTGAAAGAAATGTTGGTACTACTCCTTAAGTACTGCACCGATTTTAATGCTACTTGATGCTCATTATGCTTGAATAAAGGAGAAATGAATAAAGCATATAGACTCTTACGAGGCAACTAATATGGGAACCCCTTCCAAAGAACTGTACCAATTTCGTTAATGATACTAAATTCATACAAAGTAACCCCAGCAGGTCAGAGAAAAGAATGAAATTATGCCCCTTTCTTAAAATATTTAAAACAAGACAGAAATAATCCAACTTCACTTGCAAGATTGATACTCTAAATCCTATTATATTGTTTATTTGTTTCAGCTGTTCTGCAGTGGTCAGGTGTCATTTGCTGGTCAGCCCCTCGGCCTGATTATTGCAGGTCAGTGATCATTGTAAGGTTGACACTCTTGTAGGTCATACAAACATAATACTGGCCACAGTACAATGTACGTAGGTCGACACTACTGTAGGTCATACAAACATAATACTGGCCACAGAACATTGTACGTAGGTCGACACTACTGTAGGTCATACAAACAAAATACTGGCCACAGTACATTGTACGTAGGTCGACACTACTGTAGATCATACAAACATAATACTGGCCACAGTACATTGTACATAGGTCGACACTACTGTAGGTCATACAAACATAATACTGGCCACAGTACATTGTACGTAGGTCGACACTACTGTAGGTCATACAAACATAATACTGGCCACAGTACATTGTACGTAGGTCGACACTACTGTAGGTCATACAAACATAATACTGGCCACAGTACATTGTACGTAGGTCGACACTACTGTAGGTCATACAAACATAATACTGGCCACAGTACATTGTACGTAGGTCGACACTACTGTAGGTCATACAAACATAATACTGGCCACAGTACATTGTACGTAGGTCGACACTACTGTAGGTCATACAAACATAATACTGGCCACAGTACATTGTACGTAGGTCGACACTACTGTAGGTCATACAAACATAATACTGGCCACAGTACATTGTACGTAGGTCGACACTACTGTAGGTCATACAAACATAATACTGGCCACAGTACATTGTACGTAGGTCGACACTACTGTAGGTCATACAAACATAATACTGGCCACAGTACATTGTACGTAGGTCGACACTACTGTAGGTCATACAAACATAATACTGGCCACAGTACATTGTACGTAGGTCGACACTACTGTAGGTCATACAAACATAATACTGGCCACAGTACATTGTACGTAGGTCGACACTACTGTAGGTCATACAAACATAATACTGGCCACAGTACATTGTACGTAGGTCGACACTACTGTAGGTCATACAAACATAATACTGGCCACAGTACATTGTACGTAGGTCGACACTACTGTAGGTCATACAAACATAATACTGGCCACAGTACATTGTACGTAGGTCGACACTACTGTAGGTCATACAAACATAATACTGGCCACAGTACATTGTACGTAGGTCGACACTACTGTAGGTCATACAAACATAATACTGGCCACAGTACATTGTACGTAGGTCGACACTACTGTAGGTCATACAAACATAATACTGGCCACAGTACATTGTACGTAGGTCGACACTACTGTAGGTCATACAAACATAATACTGGCCACAGTACATTGTACGTAGGTCGACACTACTGTAGGTCATACAAACATAATACTGGCCACAGTACATTGTACGTAGGTCGACACTACTGTAGGTCATACAAACATAATACTGGCCACAGTACATTGTACGTAGGTCGACACTACTGTAGGTCATACAAACATAATACTGGCCACAGTACATTGTACGTAGGTCGACACTACTGTAGGTCATACAAACAAAATACTGGCCACAGTACATTGTACGTAGGTCGACACTACTGTAGGTCATACAAACAAAATACTGGCCACAGTACATTGTACGTAGGTCGACACTACTGTAGGTCATACAAACAAAATACTGGCCACAGTACATTGTACGTAGGTCGACACTACTGTAGGTCATACAAACAAAATACTGGCCACAGTACATTGTACGTAGGTCGACACTACTGTAGGTCATACAAACAAAATACTGGCCACAGTACATTGTACGTAGGTCGACACTACTGTAGGTCATACAAACAAAATACTGGCCACAGTACATTGTACGTAGGTCGACACTACTGTAGGTCATACAAACAAAATACTGGCCACAGTACATTGTACGTAGGTCGACACTACTGTAGGTCATACAAACAAAATACTGGCCACAGTACATTGTACGTAGGTCGACACTACTGTAGGTCATACAAACAAAATACTGGCCACAGTACATTGTACGTAGGTCGACACTACTGTAGGTCATACAAACAAAATACTGGCCACAGTACATTGTACGTAGGTCGACACTACTGTAGGTCATACAAACAAAATACTGGCCACAGTACATTGTACGTAGGTCGACACTACTGTAGGTCATACAAACAAAATACTGGCCACAGTACATTGTACGTAGGTCGACACTACTGTAGGTCATACAAACAAAATACTGGCCACAGTACATTGTACGTAGGTCGACACTACTGTAGGTCATACAAACAAAATACTGGCCACAGTACATTGTACGTAGGTCGACACTACTGTAGGTCATACAAACAAAATACTGGCCACAGTACATTGTACGTAGGTCGACACTACTGTAGGTCATACAAACAAAATACTGGCCACAGTACATTGTACGTAGGTCGACACTACTGTAGGTCATACAAACAAAATACTGGCCACAGTACATTGTACGTAGGTCGACACTACTGTAGGTCATACAAACAAAATACTGGCCACAGTACATTGTACGTAGGTCGACACTACTGTAGGTCATACAAACAAAATACTGGCCACAGTACATTGTACGTAGGTCGACACTACTGTAGGTCATACAAACAAAATACTGGCCACAGTACATTGTACGTAGGTCGACACTACTGTAGGTCATACAAACAAAATACTGGCCACAGTACATTGTACGTAGGTCGACACTACTGTAGGTCATACAAACAAAATACTGGCCACAGTACATTGTACGTAGGTCGACACTACTGTAGGTCATACAAACAAAATACTGGCCACAGTACATTGTACGTAGGTCGACACTACTGTAGGTCATACAAACAAAATACTGGCCACAGTACATTGTACGTAGGTCGACACTACTGTAGGTCATACAAACAAAATACTGGCCACAGTACATTGTACGTAGGTCGACACTACTGTAGGTCATACAAACAAAATACTGGCCACAGTACATTGTACGTAGGTCGACACTACTGTAGGTCATACAAACAAAATACTGGCCACAGTACATTGTACGTAGGTCGACACTACTGTAGGTCATACAAACAAAATACTGGCCACAGTACATTGTACGTAGGTCGACACTACTGTAGGTCATACAAACAAAATACTGGCCACAGTACATTGTACGTAGGTCGACACTACTGTAGGTCATACAAACAAAATACTGGCCACAGTACATTGTACGTAGGTCGACACTACTGTAGGTCATACAAACAAAATACTGGCCACAGTACATTGTACGTAGGTCGACACTACTGTAGGTCATACAAACAAAATACTGGCCACAGTACATTGTACGTAGGTCGACACTACTGTAGGTCATACAAACAAAATACTGGCCACAGTACATTGTACGTAGGTCGACACTACTGTAGGTCATACAAACAAAATACTGGCCACAGTACATTGTACGTAGGTCGACACTACTGTAGGTCATACAAACAAAATACTGGCCACAGTACATTGTACGTAGGTCGACACTACTGTAGGTCATACAAACAAAATACTGGCCACAGTACATTGTACGTAGGTCGACACTACTGTAGGTCATACAAACAAAATACTGGCCACAGTACATTGTACGTAGGTCGACACTACTGTAGGTCATACAAACAAAATACTGGCCACAGTACATTGTACGTAGGTCGACACTACTGTAGATCATACAAACATAATACTGGCCACAGAACATTGTACGTAGGTCGACACTACTGTAGATCATACAAACAATACTGGCCATAGTACACTGTACCACAGCTCAGGAGATTCTACAATGGTTTTACAACCGCAGTGGATTTCCAACACTTAATGTCCACATTCTGATTAAACTTGATCTATGACTCCTCTCTATCTAGTCCGCTAATTTATTCATCATACCCCTGCAACAAAGAAGTAAATTAAAGATATCTTAATCAAACTTGAAGTATAGCTGCATCACTCACAGAAGGTGTGCAGTGCACTGGAATTTGGTCTCGTGCGTCACTATATACAGAGTTATGGCTCTTTGTTTAATTTTAATACCGAAGTTTGTCCACAGCATAACTTCCATGTTATTATGGCCACGCATCAAAGATGCGGGTGCCCTACACTAATTCATCGGTCCGGCCGTCACAATCAAACAAGGTATCAACTGACCAAAGGTCATGATCACTGGGTCAAATGTCAAGGTCAAATTTTGTATCTTTTCCCTGATGAACATTTTGTTATGACACTTTGAAGCAATATTGGTCAGAATTAAACAAGGAGTCAATTGACCAAAGGTCAAGGTCACTTGGTCAAAGGTCGAGGTCAAATTTTGAATCTTTTCACTGATGAACATTTTGTTATGACATTATGAAGCAAAGTTGGTTGGAATTTCACAAGGAGTCAACTGACCAAAGGTCAAGGTTACTGGTTCCAAAGGGTCAGGGTCAAGGTCAAGTTTTGTATTTTTCACTGATGAACATTTTGTTATGATATTATATAGCAAAGTTGGTCGGAATTGAAGATTGAGCCAACTGACCAAAGATCAGGGTCACTGGGTTAAAGGTCAAGGTCATTTGGGTCCAAGGTCAAAGACAAAGTGGATCTCTTACTTTGACCCTGGCTCCTGATGGGGGAGGTATTTAAGGTATAATAAAACAAATCAAAGCTAACAAATGAGTATTGCACCGGTATTAACAGTTCTGTTAGCCCAGCAAATATAAGTGAAGGAAACAAGACTCACATCATAGTACATGTAAAATGTATATTTTGCTTCCTTGCAATTTTTTTGGAAGACCAAATGTCAAACGTCAACCTCAGCTATATGGGCAGATTGCTTCTTGATGATTATGGGGGATATATTGCCACAAGACGGGGTCCTTACTGACCTGTCAGTGTTCTAGTTTCACCTACGTTGACCAAACTTGCTAAAGTTTTAATGTATCTTGGTAAATAGGAGTGTCAAATTCTAAATTCGGGTCTCGTGCCCCCACTATATAAAGCGATATGGCCCTTTGTTAATTTTTCATACCGGAGTTTTTCTATTGGCTAATAAGGGGATACATATGTTTTTGTTCACAAAAACAAAATTCTAGTTATCAGTTTGTTTTACCTGATTTTTTTTAAGAGATATGGCCTTCTCCTACATTATTTTACAGGTGACAAGGCTCTGTGTCTGCTATGACAATGTTTTATTGAAGTTACGGCCCTAGATTGAAGTCTTATATACTGCTTTATCACATCCTAGTTTGTAAGTCGTCTCAAAGCGGTTTACAAATATTAGTTATAAGACCTTTGCAACCAGCCCATATTTTTCTCAACTCACTGGGGAGCATACAGCCGGTGCTGCCATTTCGGTGCTCACACCTAGCATTCTACAATTCTAGCACTGCCAAACCACATACTCATATACAGCTGAGTAGACTGGAACAAGCCGAGTAAAGTATAGATACAACACATAGCCGTGCTGTGACTCGAACCCAGAACCCTTCGGTCACGAGCCCGGCGTCCTACCACTAGACTACCATGCCTCCATGACTACAGTATGTTACGGGAGTTATGGCCGCATAGCTCCTGTCCACAAGATTCCACACTATCTGTTGTATTATTTCAGAGGATGAGCAGACTGCACGCTCTGCTGCCAATAAGGTCAAGGTCACATACACCAACATACAGCCCCCAATAGTGACCATGGCAGACGCAATCTCCAAGAAATCCATCTTCCCTGGGCTGGCTCCAGAGTTCATTTTAGGAGATGCAGAAGGTCAGTAGAAAGAAGAAAAATTAAGTCAATAGATGTGTTGAGTTCTTAAAAAGCTTCTGATGTTAGCTAAACTTTCTTGTACATTGACCTATTTGTTTCTATACTGTTACAGCGGCCATTTCTAATTCTCCTCAGAAGATCCAGGGTAGCATCAGCTGTGGACCTCAATATCACTTCCAAATGGAAACGCAGGTAAACATCAACATTGTGTGATTGAAAAACAGCCTTTTAATGACCCAGGCATTGTCTATCAAAACATTCCATAAAACACAACCATGATATGTTTCCATTCACATGTTCAAATGAATATATATGTCAGCTTAAAAGGGGGACCTGTGAGTGTTAATTATTTTCGGTATTTGTCAGGGATTTTGCATATATATATTATCTATGAAGTTCATTCTGTAAGATTGCTTAAAGGGTTAACGTGTTTGCTGATAAAACTGCAAAACAAAATACAGGTCATATAAAAGATTTCAAATGATTACTTTCAGATAATATACACCAATGCACTTATACTTCTGTACTAAGTGTTGAAAAAATTCAATTAGAAAATTTGCCCGAAAGATTATGTTAGTAAAGTACTAGTATTGGTGACTGTAGTACATATTGTCACTTTAATCAGAAAGTCTTTCCCCAAATACAGAACAATGGTATTTTTGGTTTGCTGTGTTTGGTAATTGTATGAGTAACATTGTACAGGTGAGTATAGCTACACCCACAGAAGACGGAATAGACATAGACGCAAGCACTCAGTGGCCCGACTTTAACCTGAGAGCCGTTGCCATGGTACTGGGATGTTATGAAAACAGGTACAACTTGATGATATAAGACCGGTGTATGTTGTGTATTTAACTGTCTTTAATAATATCAGACCGGTTTATGTAGTATCTAGATGACATCAGATGGTATCTGGATAAGATCAGTATATCTAGATGACATGAGATGATATCTGGATAAGATCAGTATATCTAGATGACATCAGATGGTATCTGGATAAGATCAGTATATTTAGATGACATCAGATGGTATCTGGATAAGATCAGTATATCTAGATAACATCAGATGGTATCTGGATAAGATCAGTATATCTAGACGACATCAGATGGTATCTGGATAAGATCAGTATATCAGGATGACATCAGATGGTATCTGGATAAGATCAGTATATCTAGATGACATGAGATGATATCTGGATAAGATCAGTATATCTAGATGACATCAGATGGTATCTGGATAAGATCAGTATATTTAGATGACATCAGATGGTATCTGGATAAGATCAGTATATCTAGATAACATCAGATGGTATCTGGATAAGATCAGTATATCTAGACGACATCAGATGGTATCTGGATAAGATCAGTATATCAGGATGACATCAGATGGTATCTGGATAAGATCAGTATATCTAGATGACATCAGAGGGTATCAAGATAAGATCACTACATCTAGATGACATCAGAGGGTACCTAGATAAGTATCTAGATGGTAAATAAAGAAGTTCAGACAGATATCCAGATAGGAGATAAAATAGGGCTCTGGATCAGGTAAGAGAGTACATCTATAGACTAGAATAGTTACTAGGTAAAGGAGATAAAATAGGGCTCTGGATCAAGTTAGAGGGTACATCTATAGACTAGAACAGTTACTAGGTAAACTGTGTAGGGTATCTAGATAGCAGATAAAATAGGTCTCTAGATCAGGTTAGAGAGTACATTTATAGACTAGAACAGTTACTGGGTAAAGGAGATAAAATAGGTCTCTGGATCAAGTTAGAGGGTACATCTATAGACTAGAATATTTACTAGGTAAAGGAGATAAAATAGGTCTCTGGATCAGGTAAGAGGGTACATTTATAGACTAGAACAGTTACTAAGTAAAGGAAATAAAATAGGTCTCTAGATCAGGTAAGAGGGTACATTTATAGACTAGAACAGTTAGTAGGTAAAGGAGATAAAATAGGTCTCTAGATCAGGTAAGAGGGTACATTTATAGACTAGAATAGTTACTAGGTAAAGGAGGTAAAATAGGGCTCTGGATCAAGTTAGAGGGTACATCTATAGACAAGAATAGTTACTAGGTAAAGGAGATAAAATAGGGCTCTGGATCAAGTTAGAGGGTACATCTATAGACTAGAATAGTTACTAGGTAAAGGAGGTAAAATAGGGCTCTGGATCAAGTTAGAGGGTACATCTATAGACTAGAATAGTTACTAGGTAAAGGAGGTAAAATAGGGCTCTGGATCAAGTTAGAGGGTACATCTATAGACAAGAATAGTTACTAGGTAAAGGAGATAAAATAGGGCTCTGGATCAAGTTAGAGGGTACATCTATAGACTAGAATATTTACTAGGTAAAGGAGATAAAATAGGTCTCTGGATCAGGTAAGAGGGTACATTTATAGACTAGAACAGTTAGTAGGTAAAGGAGATAAAATAGGTCTCTAGATCAGGCAAGGGGGTACATTTATAGACTAGAACAGTTACTAGGAAAAGGCGATAAAATAGGTCTCTGGATCAAGTTAGAGGGTACATCTATAGACTAGAATATTTACTAGGTAAAGGAGATAAAATAGGTCTCTAGATCAGGTAAGAGGGTACATTTATAGACTAGAACAGTTAGTAGGTAAAGGAGATAAAATAGGTCTCTAGATCAGGCAAGGGGGTACATTTATAGACTAGAACAGTTACTAGGTAAAGGAGATAAGATAGGTCTCTGGATCAAGTTAGAGGGTACATGTATAGACTAGAACAGTTACTAGGTAAAGGAGATAAGATAGGTCTCTGGATCAAGTTAGAGGGTACATCTATAGACTAGAATATTTACTAGGTAAAGGAGATAAAATAGGTCTCTGGATCAGGTAAGAGGGTGCATTTATAGACTAGAACAGTTACTAGGTAAAGGAGATAAGATAGGTCTCTGGATCAAGTTAGAGGGTACATGTATAGACTAGAACAGTTACTAGGTAAAGGAGATAAGATAGGTCTCTGGATCAAGTTAGAGGGTACATTTATAGACTAGAATAGTTACTAGGTAAAGGAGATAAAATAGGTCTCTGGATCAGGTAAGAGGGTGCATTTATAGACTAGAACAGTTACTAGGTAAAGGAGATAAGATAGGTCTCTGGATCAAGTTAGAGGGTACATTTATAGACTAGAACAGTTACTAAGTAAAGGAAATAAAATAGGTCTCTAGATCAGGTAAGAGGGTACATTTATAGACTAGAACAGTTAGTAGGTAAAGGAGATAAAATAGGTCTCTAGATCAGGCAAGGGGGTACATTTATAGACTAGAACAGTTACTAGGAAAAGGCGATAAAATAGGTCTCTGGATCAAGTTAGAGGGTACATGTATAGACTAGAACAGTTACTAGGTAAAGGAGATAAGATAGGTCTCTGGATCAAGTTAGAGGGTACATCTATAGACTAGAATAGTTACTAGGTAAAGGAGGTAAAATAGGGCTCTGGATCAAGTTAGAGGGTACATCTATAGACAAGAATAGTTACTAGGTAAAGGAGATAAAATAGGGCTCTGGATCAGGTAAGAGGGTACATTTATAGACTAGAATAGTTACTAGGTAAAGTATCTAGATAGGAGATAAAATAGGTCTCTAGGTCAGGTTAGAGAGTACATTTATAGACTAGAACAGTTACTAGGTAAACTGTGTAGGGTATCTAGATAGGAGATAAAATAGGTCTCTGGATCAGGTTAGAGTACAAAAAGTTTTGTATTTGTTAGGTCATATCTCTGTCAATGGATTTTTATTTGGAGACCAGCATAGGAATGATAATTGTATACCTGTTAAAATGGTGTAAGTAATGCTGAGCAGTATTTTAAATTAGAAGTGAAAGTTGTTGCCAGATAAACCACTATGAAATAAAAATGGCAATATTTTCAACAGTTTTCGTTCAAATAAATACTCATATCTCTAATAATACTTAACCGATTTTTGTTAGGAGACCACTCTGACCAAGGAAATTTAGCACTCTTTACGATTATATCAATTGTTTGAACACGTCTTACATATTAATAGCAAAAGTGGTGGCCGGAATGAATCAGAGTCGTGTGAAAAATAATGAAAATTATCAAACTTTCACGTTAACTTCTGTCTTTCTTGATCCATAACTCGTTAGTTACTGAACCGATATTTGTTCGGTGACCACTCTAGATAAGATGATTTCATAATCTTTAAGTTGATATAAGTTTTATTAATATACATTACAAATTTGATGCAAAAGTGGTTGCCGGAATGAACCACTATGAAATCTGCGGATGCCATTTTAAGACCATCCACGCTAACACATTTGCTAAAACAACACGCCACCTGGATGTTGAATAGCGACCGGTGTATAGACTTCAACCATGTAATGGTTAATATACCTTTAAGATTCTAATGGTCGATGATTGTTGATTTTCAAGATTTAGCTAGAATTCTACAGTCAGACGAGAAAGATTTCGACTAGACAGTCAAACTTCTACCCTTTGCACAGAGATAGAACCGCATAATTCCATTTATGTTAATGATTGTAAAATGTATTTTTTAAAAGAAGGTTGTCCCTCAATAGAAATCAATATGGTAAATATCTTTCTCTTGATGTATGCAGGCGACATGGTCTTATTTGCAAAATCGTATGATAAATTACAAAGAATGTTAGATGAAATGAAAAAAATATAAGACTTTTAATTACATTGATCACAGAAACCCCCCAAATATAGTAGTATTTAGAAACGGCGGTGGTATCAGAAATAATGATATATGGTATACCATTATGATAATATAGAACTCAAAATTGTAAATCAATTTAGTTATCTTGCTTTAAAGTACCAAAAAAAATCTGCCACAAAAAAATACAGGTTGTCAGAATTTTAAGGATTTTAAATGGAAATTTATGTAAAAAGGAGTGAATTTTGAAAAAAACACCACACATTTGTTTGCAAAATAATGTCACTAAAAATGATACTGACATAGATTAGTATTGCATTAATGTATATCAATTTCATCAATACTGAAATTGTGTAAAATTAATTATCTATAAACCATATGCACATAGTAATTGCATGTAAGAGTTATCGTTCTTGAAAAACTTCACAATAGTGAGATAGGTAGCCGGTTTCCTGAAGTACAGAAAAATGGACACATGTGACTCATTGATAAAAAACAACTGAATTAATGCCTGGATTGCTTTGAAATACTTTAATATTGAAAGAACACACTGTTCTGTCAATAATAAACATACAATATTAATTAGTTTAATATTAAACATTAGAATATGCGGAAATTGTGATACTGTCTCCCTACATTGGATTTTCAACTAGGGATGTAGTTCCTATTTCCGTTTATCAATACACTCCTATGACCTTAATAGGACAATACACAAAATTAAACCAAACCCAATTTTCCCCCCAGAATCACTGTACGAACAAAGAGGCTCGGAGGCGCGTATGGAGCGAAAATCACCAGGAATGCTATAGTGTCTGCTGCCGTGGGACTTGCTGCACAGGTCACAAACAGGTATGTAGGTCAAAGGTCAGGTGTGTAATCTTTAAGTTGTGATGAAATGATGAATCAAACTGACAAACCATTCTGGCTACGCTTTACCGTACAGCTGAGCGGATTTGATGGTTAGAGTTGTAATTTTGTTCATTTATAACACCTAAGTGAAAATCAGCTTTCAGTGTAGTTGAGTCAGCGTCAATTTTATATTACCACCCCATACCTATTTTATATTACCACCCCATACCTATTTTATATTACCACCCCATACCTATTTTATTAGCTCACCTGGTCCGAAGGACCAAGGTGAGCTTATGCCATACCGTGGCGTCCGTCCGTACGTCAACAATTTCTTTAAACGACTTCTTCTTCTTAACCACTGGTTGGAATTAAACTAAATTTGACTGGAAGCATCCCTATGTGGTGGGGATTCAAAATTGTACAAATGGTTGGGCTGACCCCCCAGGGGGCTGAGGGGCGGGGCCAAAAGGGGTCAATTTGGCCATATTGCTTTAAGCGACTTCTTCTCTGAAACTAAGAAGTGGATATCAACCATATTTGACTGAAAACATCCCTAGGTGGTGGTGATTAAAAATTGTACAAATGGTGGGGCTGACTCCCCAGGGGGCTTAGGGGCGGGGCCAAAAGGGGGCAATTTGGCTATATTGCTACAAACGACTTCTTCTGAAGAACTGTGCACTGGATATCAATCATATTTGATCAAAAGCATTCCTGGGAGGCAGGGATTTAAAATTGTACAAATGGTGTGGCTGACCCCCCAGGGGGCTGAGGGGCAGGGCCAAAAAGGGTATTTGGCTATACTGCTTTAAGCGACTTCTTCTCTGGAACTAAGAAGTGGATATCAACCATATTTGACTGGAAGCATCCCTAGGTG